AAGATGCCGCCCGGTTGGGACTGCAAATATGATCAAACGACGGGCAACTGGTAAGCAACAGCAACCGCAACAGCAAAAGCAACTGAAAATGCATAAAGCAAACGTCATAAATATTTATGCATGCACACAGAGAAATGAGAAATGAAATTGCATTGAAATGTGAGCTGAGGGCTGAGGGCTGTAGGCGGCAAATTTCCATTGCATGCTTTCAGGCGGCGCCTATTAAAGCTGTGCTCGGGTGTAGCATGACAGCCGTTGGGGAAAGTTGATTGCTGTGAATTTTATTAAATGTCAAGTGACTGTGAAGTATATATATATATATTTTATATACATTTTTGATAGCCCAGCGGTTGGAAGGCCTGCTAACGTGTCTGTCTACTTGGCCAAAGGCAAACTGTAAAAATTCCATTGCATACTTTTAGGCAGTGCTTGAAATCTGCCTGATGTAACTTTTGCTGTTGTTCTCTAGCGTTGTCTTGACGTGCTATTCATTATGCCAAGCACAACACTTGATGTCAATTGGCCTCATTGTCGCATAAACTGTGTCACTTCCGCCTTATGGGGGCTTCACTCCAACTTGTGAGCTACTTGCTCCTCTTTGCTCTCTGCTCTCACATTTGTTTGCCTTGGCTCTGTGTGCAATTAAGCAGCGACTGTCATACGTTAAATTCAAGTGTGCACTTGTCAGGAGTCCCATGTCATCTCGTCTCATTTCGTCTTGTCTCGTCTCTCGCAATCACAGCCCCCGATTAGCTGTCAAATGTGAGTTGCTGCTGCTGCCATTTGGCAGCTACTTGGCACGTGTCGCTGTTTAGGTCTCGTCGTACCCTTTACCTTTACCTTTACCTTTGCCGTTACCCAGAGCATTTTCCCCAAATGTACCATCATTGAGAAATTCACCACCAGCACCAGCCGAACCGGAGGCCGGCCCCGTGCCGTTGCCGGCAATCAACCCTTGTGTGCTAGCATTTTATGGCCTTTGATTTGCAGTTTTTGCCATTTTTATGTCGTTGCAGCTATTACATAAACTATCTGACCAAGGCTATGCAGCTGGAGGATCCGCGCGCCGGACGCAGCAGCTACAAACAGTTGCAAAACGAACGCTGCTCCACAGAGTCCATAGCDCTGCAGGTGAGCTCATTCAATTGCAGTTTCAGAGTGTATTCGAAAGCTATCACATTTTTATGGCATACTTTTGTGCGCTGCATAAAAGTTGTAAAATTCATTGCATACTTTTGAGTGTTACATGAAATGTTTTATGCAATTTTGTATTGTTTTGCATTATTTGGTTTTTCCGTTTCTCCTCTCATTTTGTCATTTGTAGCCCCTGGCGCAGCACTCCCATCACAGCTCTCCCTTCCATGTGGTACATCCCAGCAACAATCTAACCGCCGTGCGTGCCTTCCAGGAGCGCGCCTTACACAATCTGTCGACGAGTCCGTTGCTCTCCGCCTCGTCGCGCGGACAACTGGTGGGCAYTAGCTAAACAGTTAAATGCSRGCRCTTTCTATAGCTTTCTGTGTTGTCTCTTATCTCTGCCACAGGAGCTCTCTTCGCCTCTGCCTGTGCAGCGTGCCCGCTTGCCCTCCAACATGTCGCGTCGTTCCACCATTCAGGAGACCTCGTTCAGCGATACCCAGGCCGTGGTCACCAAGATACAGAACATGTTTCCCACAGCCGATGAGAATCATATACGGCTATTGCTGAAGCGGTAAGCCGAGAATATAGTATATATGTATATATTATATACTTTATATATTAATATCATTATTGC